TAGGGGCCTTTATATTATGATTTAAATAGACCTTAATTAAGGGGTATTGGGTTCCCTGGGGAAGGCTTATGGTTTCCCCGGTTCGGCTGGGGCTGAAGTGAACGCAACAAGGCGCTCGTGCTGTAGTCTCCCAGAAGGACAATCTCTCGTGCTAGAGGGCGGGTGTTCGTAAGCATGCTCCTGAAAAGCAGGTGAGCCTGTTTGAGGATGGATAAAGCCTCCCCTAAACTCCTAAACCTTTAGCCACCGTATTTGTGGTGTCGCTGTATGAAGTCTTGAGCTCTGCTTCTAGGACCCTTGGCGGGGAAGGGATGTACCTATATGTATAGATGATGACTATGATGGGTCAGAGCCGGGCGGGTGGCACTGACTAGCTGGAAGGATTGGAAGGATTCGCATAATCCGCCCCAGAAGCCCGAAGCCTTTAAACTCTTCGGAACCGTTTTCTTGAGAACCTCGTGCTCGCACCTAAAGGCCCCTCTTCCCCCCCCCCCCACCATCCACCGATTCGGAGGGACCCTGCTGGTCTGCTGTTGTAATGTAGGCGGGTGTGTTTGGGCTCTTGCACGCATTAGTCCAGCACGACTGTCTATGCTGTCGGTAGGCTTCCCACTTTGGGATTCGAAGTTTGCAATGGTCCAGGACACCTAGCTGGGTTTCAGCATCTCGTCACTTAAGCCTTTACCTCAAGCCCCTCGTAACACCCGGGAGGCGCGGCCAAAGAACGACACCACGGCTTCATGCAACAAGTTACAAACCCCAAGCCTTAAAATCCCTAAACCCTAAAGCCCTTCAAGGTCTTCAGGGCACACAGCAACCTCAAGTCAGAAATCTCACAGCTCACCAGACGTCATGTGGGTAGTTCTCTAAAGTAGGATCCCGTTTTAGGTCCCCCAAAATACTACGGACCCCTTATAAAAACTGAAACGGGACCCTTTTTGAGAGCTACCTTTAAAGTATCCTTGCAGAAACCCTATAGAGACCCTTGTAGATCCCCTTAAGGAACCCTACACGGTAGAGAACTACCCATGTGTGCGATCTCAGCGTCTCTGGCTTGTTGTAGCTCAGGAGTCGACCCATGGGCACCTGCAGACGTATTTCTGCGGGGCTTCGGGCTGGCAGTAACAAGCCCTATAAACCCTACACCCTTAGACCCTAAACCCTTAGCCCTAAGCCCTTTACCCTAAACCCTTAAACCCTAAACACCCTGAACCATTAAACCCGAAAAGGTTTGGACTTCCCCAAGCATCTGCCTTTCGGCCGAAGACCTCCCTGCACATTGAAACGAACTATCGACCCTCAAACACCCAAACAGGATCCGCAAGCACCGTCATCAAAACCTCAACCTCCGGACCCTCTCTCTCTGTCCGTGTGTTTCTTTATTTGAGGGGGAGGTGGGGTTTCGTGTTGGGTTCAGGGTTCAGGGGTTTAGGGTTTAGGGCCCCGCCCTTAACCCGAAGACCCTGAACTCCTAGACCCTCAACCCTACAAACCCTAAACTCCTAAACCCTCAACCCTACCTAGACCCCCCAACTACCCTCTTTCATACCCCCAAATACCCACTATTAAGGACCATAAGNNTAGTAAGGTTGTAGGTCCCCAAATCCATACTCTGAATGGTTCTTGGACCTTCAAACCCTGCTATTTGGGTACTTGGACCCTTAGGGTAAAACCCTAAACTCCTAAACCCTCAGCCCTAAAACCCTAAAACCCTAAACTCCTAAACCCTCAACTCTAAAACCCCTAAATTCCTAAACCCTCAACCCTATAAGGATCAGCCTTGTAGTTCTTGGCGATCTCCTTCTCGCGATTGGCCTCGGCTTCCTTCTCGCGCTTCACCTGAGAGGATGTAAGGAATGTAGGGTTTGGGGGTTTGGGGTTTATGGGGTTTAAGGGTTTAGGGTGTGGGGTTTATGGGGTTTTAGGGTTTAGGGTTTGGGCTTTAAGGCTTTAGGGTTAGGCTTCAGGATATTAGAATCGGGTTTTGGCTTGCAGTATAGTACAAGGAAGCCTAAAACAAAATAGTAGACAAAGTACGAGGAGAGCGAGGAGTCCTAAGCAAAAGTATTGGCAATAATTCAGGCTTCTATATCGACAACGGCAGTCAGGAAATATCATCCGCATGAAGCGGGGGAAATACGACGCTGCAGCGGCCTCTCTTTTGGTTGATGATAAGAAGAAGATGATGATTCTGATTATGGTGCCGCTGTTGTGATGATTGCAAAACTGCGATGAAGGCGTTTCCGGCAGTGATGGCAGTGACCTGCGGTACTGGCGATGACGAAATCCTCAGCGTCCTCCGAGTTCTCCTCGAAGTGGTGACAGGTATCCCTGGTTCACGCGCATGGATGGCAGCTTCGAATCTGGAGAGTCGCTGTTAGTCGCTCTTAGTGAGTGTGCAAAACAGGGCTTGGTCTGATCCTCCGCCCAAATTCTCGTTCTGCTCAATCCGTAGCAAGACAGTCTCGAGTCTTGCGACAATGGAAGGTGCACCTTAACGAAGGAGGTACCTCACAATTGGGACGGACACAGTGACACAACGTCTCGGCTAACGGCGCGGCGCATTTCTCGACCCGAAAGCACTGAAGCTTGTGGAACATTGCACGGCCGCCTCATAGACGCCCCCATGCCCCTCAATGTCTGTAATTGTACAAAGCGAAATATCTGCTCCCCCGTCGTAGCGGCCGATCAGAACCTTTTGACCCTGGGCCCCCAAAACGGAGCCACCACCGATGCGGCTCAGGCGGGCAAGCGCGTCCTGGCGACAAATGTTCGTGATGTACTTTTCTGCATGAGTCCAGTCGTGGACCCGCCACACACTCTCAGACAGGCTCGCCAGCATGCTTTTCTCCAAGACTTCCATCAGCTGCGTGTACTTGTGATTTAGATCCTGCTCAGCTGATGTCGCCAAACGCAACTCATCCGACGTCTTGTCGATGATGCGAGTGCACTGGTGAATGCTCTCAAGACCGGCAGCACCTGTGCCACCAGCCGCGGCAGACGAGAGGCCCAGCGAAACACCAGCACCACAATGGCATTCCACTACTGCCACTGTCAAAACAAGGCCCATTAGAACAGTGCAGCCACTGATGCTGGCACAATTCTCGGCCTGTTCTTGCCGTTGCCTCGCATCGCGATCGCGGATGATCTCGCTAAAGCGGAAGCGCAGGTCGTCAAAGTCTCGCGAAGCTGTTTTCACCACAGCGTTGATGTGGTGCTGACGGCGGTTAAACCGGTCTTTCGGCTGAGCGAGGGTGGCATCAAGCTCAACCTCCATCTTGTCCAAGGATGCTTTGAAGCGACTGCACTCTTCAGACAGCTCCGGCACCGTCTGCTCCAGTAGGTCGACGTGCTCACGCAGCACAGGAGCTGTTCCCAAACTCAGCAGAACAACTGCCAAGTTCACGGCCCCTGCGACCTTGAGAACCGTAGCCTGGGACATAGCACTGGCCACCTTATCAGTGCTGCTCTTCGGTGCCATGTCCTGCACATTTTTCAAGATATCTTCCTTGCTACAGTGAGGGCACTTGATTGCAGCATCTAGTGAATCTAGTGCAGGCTTGTGTCCATGGATGATGTACTGTATGCCATGTTTGTCGAGCTCTTGGAGCACTTTCGGATCCACTTTGGTTTCACCGGTCTTGCCAGGGAAGAACTCCCAGACATAGCCTTGGCAGGCACGGTTATGCTTAACAATGTGAGCGTCCTTCAGGATCTGGTTCGCCGTGGCTTGGGTGTAGCGGACACTGCCGGTCTTGATCTCATGGAAGATCCCTTCAGTATCGATAATGTCTACGATGCGGATGTCGCTTTTTGCCCCGACAGGTGTTGTGGTGTGCATGCGAACCTGCATGAGCACAGGCTTCCCCAGCTTCTGCTGCAGAGCCTGAGCTTTGTAGTGCTCCGCTGCCAATCCTTGAGCTCGTTGCCCGAACGGCAGTTCGCACTCAGCTTGCGGAGATTCATGGAGGCTAAGCAGAACAGCAGCCACCGTAGCTCCAAGAAATGGCTTCCAAAGCGTGGCATCGCCCTCAACTCCATGACCGCCTCCAGGATGGCCCTTCAGCATGTGCAATACCGCTACATGCATGCTTCTCGCGCTCCTCACCGGGCGATGTACTGCCGGCCGCTGAGCAAGGCGGAAGCATGTGGAGGAAGCCCTCTGCCACAGACTCGACATGGCAGAACCCCATCACGACTGCAAGGACTGGTCAATCAAATCCGCGAAGGGAGCTTGCTGCAGGCGGTGGAAAGAGCTTCAATCATCCTTGTGGTTTCTTCCATGTGTCCCCAACTCTGCAATTTCGAAGGTCTACGCGGTCCGATACTTCACAGCTTCGGAAGTTCATCTTTTATATATCCCGGCTCTGATTCGGCACGCCTCGAATCAGAAGCCCGGAACAAGTAATCTGCACAAACACATGAAATCAAAGTGAGAAAGCTCCAACCCCCAAAGAATCCGCATACCCTGTCACCCTCAGGATAAGCCCTGAAGACAGATGAAGACCACAACTCCTTGCTTGTAACCTGAACCCCCAGAACTGCATAAACCCTCAAACCCTGCAGCTTCAAAATCATGATTTCAACCCCTCAACATCCCTCAACAACATCCCTCCACCCTAAACCCGAATCTGCAGTGTCTACCTTTGAGGCGTCTAGTCACGCGCTCGCTCTCTGACTCTCCGGAGTTCGTCGACGAGCGCTTGACGACCATCTGCAGAGTCTGGTCGTGCCTTGGGCATCAGGTCTGGGGTTTTTGGGGTTGAGGGGTTACGGTTCAGGGTTTAGGATTTAATTAGGGTGTAGGATTTAGGGGAACAAAACATACGGAGGACTTGATGGTTAGAATAGGGTTCCTTTGAGGGGTGATTTTAGGGGCTCTATAAAGGTTACTACGAGGGGTTCTAATTAGTGGGTTTTGGGCAATATTATGGACTAGTTTGGGACTACAAGGAGAATAAATACTACTGCTGTTTAACCTCCAAACCCTAACCTCATTGTTCAAACCTCTGTATTCGGGTTTACTCGAGGCAGTTTGTCGCTTCCCAAAATACGAGAGCTGAAGTTTCCGCTCGTAGATTCAATTTGAAAGCAAACGTATTTGTGGCCCAAACGACCTACCTTTTTAAGGAATTGTATATAGAAACCATACCTTAAAAAGGTAGGTCCTTTCGAGTACAGGTAATTCTACTAGTAATACTGGATAGTGACTGGATAGTGCTGCTATCTCAAAAACCAAGTCTCAACCAGAGATCTCCGTAAGCAACCTGTGTTAGCACGATGCAACTAAGAGGTTACTGCAGCCAGGGCCTGCAAAACAGGGATCGCTGTTTAACATGAACCTCGGGCGCAAATTCCTACATTCCGGGGTCTCCGCGAACCGGTATTGATGAGGAGACCCACTGCCTAGTCAGCCTCGTCTCTCCTGCATCGCTGATGTGTCCAGCATGTGGGTCGAAAGCTTCGAGTTCAGTTTTCCGAGTTCCTAAACCCTAAACGGCCTCAACCCTACTAAGACCACATGTACCCTAAGACTTAAATCGCTGCATGTTCTGGCTAGCGCTAGGGCCGATGCCGGGCTGTGCCCTTGTCTTTTGGGAATGGGGCTCGAGGTGCCGAAGATTCGCTTGTACTGCGGCATATATCTATATGAGTCTATGTGCGTGTGTGTGTGTGTACATATAAGGTGCGCACTGCATGCGTGATTGAATGTTTACAATCTGACAGTAGACTATATGGTATTACGATGTGACATCACGTGGTAGGAACTGGGATTAGTAGTTACGAAAAGGAACCTGTAAGGAATTGTATTACTCGTTCTTCACGTACTAAACCTCACAGTAACCGTTATCCTAGTCAGCTCATGGTAGGTGCCGAGATGCGGCACCTCTGGCACAGTGTTCTCTTCGGCTTCATCGGCCTGTCCCCCCGCACCAAAGTAGGGCTTTAACATCTAGACATATCTAGACTATGTCTTGAGGTGTATTATAAACTACAAAGTGGAAACTATGACTCATGTCATTGGCTTCCAACTTCCGGCGCCGAGGAGTTCAGCAGGTAGGTTCAGGATTGCAGGGCAAGCAACTCGTAGCATCCCAGACTCCGCTTCGTAGCTTAGATTGTGCACAAAGGGGCCTTGTGAGAAGACTCCTGAGCCGCCACCAAGGCGTAGTAGGTGCCCTTCTTCCTGAGACATGAGTTAAGGGCTTATAGGGTTTAGGGGTTTAGGGTTTAGTGGTTTAGGGCGGTGGCCTTCAATGTCAAGCAGCTATCCTATCGGGACCATACTGACCTATTGGAACGCGAAGCCTAAAAGGGGCCGAGATGAGATTGCCGAAGCACGCGAAGCCCCAGATTTCCGAAGCTTCTGATTCCCGAACCTGAAGTTGCCTCACTCCGTCTTATAGCGAAGACATAGCCGCTGACACCACCCAAAACAGCCTAAACCCCCAACCCGAAGACCCCACCTACACCCACGAACACCAGCGGGGTCTGGGGTTGGTGGGTTCAGGTTTGGGGTTTAGATATAGGGGGTTTAGGTTGAGGTATAGGGTATCTATCTGCACCTTGGCTGTGCAGATTGTTGTCTAAGATATATGGGGCGAGATTCGAAGGCAACATTTCCCTGGATAGGGCTCTGAATCAGCTGTATTGTCTGGCTTTAGAACTTCAATGTCCAGAACTGTGGAGCCTTAGGCGAACCCGGTTTCGCTTAAGTTTTAAGGATGTTAATATGTTATAGCTATTGTATATATACCTGAGCACCAGATAGATCCTGACACCAACAGAGCATGAACTCAGATTTACCCTCAGGACTCATACATTCAGCTTAATTCCTCCAGCACCGAACAAGACTCGATGAGCTCCCCCTAAATCTGTGGTTGGAGGATTTGGAGTTGCTATAACAAGGTCTGGGGCCAAGCGTCTCCATGAGGGAGGTATGGTTTCCCTTCTCCACCAACGTGCCCCGGCTGAGCACGTAGATGAGATCCGAGTTTTTCACGGTACCTCTGGATCCTACGATCAATCGGGGTATAAGAATTAAACTCTTGTGTCTGATAAAATGGCTGTCACGCTGTCTCTTGGGCCCTTAATGCGCCCTTAGAATCTCAGGGAGAAGGTCTCTGACTCTGGGGTCCTGGTCAGAGGGTGCTGCCCACCCCTCGTAGAGAGAATATCTGTTTAAAGTTTTAATTTTCAACCACCCTGCTCAAAATCCGAGTCCTCTTGAAATATTCGTACCTGGCACTACTATTGCTTATTTCCATCTTGTCTCTGCTGAAAACTCAAGTCCTCATGGCTTGCTCTTACTAGATTTTACAGCTACTTCCGGCTTGCCTCTGCTCAGAACCCTAAACCCCAAACCCTCAAACCTATAAACCCTAAACCCTAAGCAGTAGTTGGCGGAACCTTCCGCGTGCGCCGTGCGGGCGCCTCGCGGGAATCCCAAGCTGTGTAGAACACTGTTTGAAGAGGTTTAGGCTTTACCTGTAGTCTCCATTGTAGTTCCTTTTTTGGTTTAACCAAAGGTAACCCCAAAAAGGAACTACAATGGAGACTATAGGTAGGGTTTATAGGTTTGAGGGTTTAGGGGGGGAACTCCTGAACCTTAAATCCTGGACAAGTGCACATGTCATAGTCTTCGTGAAGCTGCAAACGCATCACTATAAGCCCGTTGGATCCAAAAAGCACTGACATGGTATATGACCCCTGTGCTTCTAGAATAAAGGTGGGAAACTCGTATAAGGAACCCCTAAACCCTAAACCGTAAACCCTAAACCCTAAACCGTACAAGATCACAAGGTAAGAACCCTGATCTTCCAGCGAGCCGTGGTCGAGCGGCTGAGACGATGGGCAATGCTCACAATTCCCAGGCCCTCCGTGGTGTTCGCGCTGATGCTGTCAATCGTGGCCTCGATGTAGCGATGATCGGGTTTAGATGAGCGTAGATTGTTGTGCTTATAGGGTGTCCAACTAGGTAATTGCAAGCAATTGCGCGCATTTTAAGGTTTAAGGCTTGGAGGGTTTAGGGTTCAGGGGGAGGTCCCATGTCCTAAAGCAGGTTTAACGAGGCTCCAGGAATTTAGGGCTCGAGAGATTGGCGTCTCCACAGCTTCGGTTTAGGGTTTCGGGCTAGGGTTTCGGGGGTTTTCGCATGAGAGCGATTGCTCTACGGAGCCCTAGAAACCGTTATGAACAACTACTGATATGTTATGACTACTCCGATCCAAACCCCGAACGCCCCAAATCCCTAAACCCGAAGCCTCACCTCCAATCCCTAAACCCTAAACTTTACACCGAAGCACTGGAGACCCTAAACCCTTACAGAGCTCCAATACAGAGCTCGAATAGGAATCTTTCATTGCGTGAGCCCTGAAACCCTTGATCACGATCCTGGATCATCTTCTCGGAGGTGTTGTCCAGTGCGCTGGTGGCCTCGTCCAGGAAGAGGAAGGACGCCTCCGGGTTTTGGCTTTTGGGCCTCGGGTGTAAAGTTTAGGGTTGAGGTGTTGTTGGATTGGGGTGGGGTTAACTTCTTGAGAATGATGGTGAAGGAATGCTAGGGGATGAAAATATGATTTATGTGGGGTTATCATAGCCTAAGCCCTAAAGCATAATAGCTAAGGATGGCTGCGTTTAAGGCTAACTGTAGGGGTTCGGCTCGAAGCCCAGTTCCCTCTAAACACCGAGACCCCCCAAAACATATTGGAGGAAGATGTCCTGAATTCCCGAAGGTTCAGGGTGTAGGGCTTTGCATCATAGTAGAAATCCTCTATTGTCTAGAAGTCTATAAAGTGTATTCCTGAAGCACTCGTAGTATTCCTGCGGAGATCTTTATTGACGGATGAAAGCTGTAATCTAGGATCCCTATGTCAAGGGCTCCCCCCAGCAAGGCACCCCAGAGTTTTCTGAAGCTCCCGAGCTTCCCAGAGAACCCAATACCCCTCAATTACGGAATATGCCTTAAATTAGAGGGGCCTCAATATTATGATTTAAGGTATATTCCTTAATGAATTAAGGGGTATCGGGTTCTCTGGGTTCCCCCACCAGCCTTTTTGAGCAAAGCGCGGGCGATGGCAATGCGTTGCTTCTGTCCTGGGCAGATGCTCCAACCGTAAACCCAGTGCAAAGCCCGGATAGGCCGCAAATCCTGAAACGCTGGAATCTCAAACCATCAACCCTGTCCCTCAACCCTCAACCCGTATGCTTACGGTTTAGGCTTTATAGGGTTTAGTACGCGCTTCAAGCCCGATAGCCTGTTTAGGGTTTAGGGGTTTAGGGTTTAGGGAAAGCCTGTTAAACCAAAAACCCTCAAGCCCCGAGCGGAGTCCCCAAAGGTCGTGCTTGCAGGCCAAATACCCGAGACGCCTCCGGACAGAGCCGCCCATATGGCAAAGCAATCCCACTTCTCTAGGATTCTTTGGAAACCCTCACCAGCCTCTAGACCCTAAACCCTAAACCCCAAGCCCTAAGCCCTAAGCCCTACAAGCCCTAAACCCTAAACCCTGACACCTAAATCCCGAAGCACCCGGTTCCCCCCAAAAAAATCCCTAAACCCCAAACCTGAAAGGCTCCGACACCCTAATCCCTAAAACCCTAAAACACCAAAACCCCAAAACCCTAGAGCCCTAAACCCCAAAACCCGACTCCTTAAGCCCTAATAAAACCCTGATCCCCAAAACCCTAAAACCCTAAACCCTAAATCCCTAAACCCTAGAACCCTAAACCCCAAAACCCCTAAACCCTAAAACCCGGACACCCTAAAACCCCAAAACCCCAAAACCCTGAAACCCTGAAGCTCAAAACCCTGAAACACTGAAACCCTGAAGCTCTAAACTCTGCAAAGACCATAGAGACCCTGACCACGACACTCAACCTCTCTCGAGCTCTCCGCCAGCAAGGGTTGCGATGTTTTTTGTAGTGTTCAGTAGGGTTTATGGATTAGGGTTTAGGGCTTAGGGTTCAGGGTTTGTGGTTTCGGGTTTGGGGGTTTTAGGATGCAGTGCTTGCCGGGCTTGGTTTAGGCACCCCCCCAAAAGACCGTACGCAAGACCCACAAAAGACAACACTCCCGAGCTCCGCAGGGAGGCCTCCAGACAGTTGGCCGCCGCCGCTGCCCACAAAGGTGTTGTACCTTCATTGGGGTTTAGGGCTTCGGTCGGCTCTATGCTCGTGTGATTTTTCATTAAATTTACCTCTGGGGCATTTAGGTGAACCGGGCAACCCAAAAGCCCTAGACCCGAAAACACTAAACCCTACACCCAAAACCTTTAACCCGATTGGACTGGACTGAGATTTGTCTAGCCTAGACCTAGCAGAGCTTAGCTTGGCTCAGGTTCGCTAGACAACGCCAAACACAGACCGACCGACCGACAGACAAAAACGGATAGACAGATAGACAGAAAGACAGATGGATAGACAGATAGATAGACAAAATGAGTACATCAAAAGATAGGCAGTTGGATGGATAGATACACAAGCAGAGCGTTAGCGCTTCTTGAGGCCTTACTGCTTCGGTGCTTTGGCGTGGACTCTTCCACCAGTCATTGACCGGTTGCGGCGACCTAGATATAGGGGACTTAGATTTATATAGGTTTTGGAGGCAGCTCAGCCAAATGTTGACAAATTTTGACAAAATAAAGACAAATAAAGACAAATAAAAACAAATACAGACAAATAAAGACAAATAAAGACATACATTAGACAAATAAAGACAAATAAAGACAGATTTTGACAACATATTGACAAATAAA